TGGGGGTCTCAAGTACCTTGCGCAGCAATCCTGAATGTTGCTGCACCTCTCCTTTGAGCTTTTCCGTTTTTTCTTCCTTCTGCTGCTTATTCAAAGCCTTCTGGCTAGCTTCGGGCATACCAGCCTCGATGCATTGATACCAGATGTTATGATCTTGCTGGAAAAGATTGTAATGTGCAATCAAAAGGATAGAAAGGTGTGATGATGGTTTGATCCTCTTCGAGGGGGATCTTCCTCGTTGTGCTGCACACGCAGTTCAGGGGGAAAAGCTCAATGCCTTCTTTATTATTGTAATTTGTAACTCACATTTATATATAGGCATTCCCCAGATCCACCCCCATAAAATATTCAAATTAAGAAACTACCAACTCAAGAAACTGCCCAAATCCTATTCAAATTTTCAAAGTAGATAAGTTAACTACCCAGGCTGCTAATCCCTTCACTGTGACTAGGATCCTTTTATTCTAGCCTATGGTTTCCTAACACAGCATAATATCTCATGATATAAACTCTCTGTGGCAAATGAATCTGATGAATCCTATTATATTTTTATAGTCGTAAGTTTGACCACCCTCCATGAACTTCTAACAATTGGCCTCTATCAATAATATTTTTTTATTTAAAATTGGCATTTGGCCTCGTCGGGTGGTGACACCTAATTAACATGATTTATCCCTCTTTGCGAGCACTATTGTCTTCCGTTCCATTGCAATTATAGTCATCACCCTCTTGGAATTGTTTTGATTTGGTCTTTATTGACCCGGGATCTTTTGTTGTCTTTCTTTACCTTTGATTGTCAAGGCCCTTTTTGGGCACTAACTAATATTCGAAGGTTTAGATCAGTGCTTCCTTTTAGGATGAGCTCGCATGAAGATGAAGTTGCAGAGTTGACCAAGTCAGTAAACACATGTCAGTTTATATGAAAATAGAAAGGTATGACCTTATTGTCAGATCTCACTGATTTGGAGGTTATTTTAGGGAAATCTGACATTTATGTATTAATTTTGTGGTGATACATAGATTGCTTTATCCAACTTGTGTTCTAGTAAAGAGGCAGCTTCCTGAGTATTTGCTTTTCTATAGCTAGCTATATTATATAAAGATGATATTCTGCATTAATCATCTTCAACATGGAGTTATAGTGTTGCATACTTTCTGCTGAGAGGACGAGCAAACCATGGGCCATTTGCTAGTTCATTGCAGACTAGCAAATTGGCAGGGTTTTCTTTTTCCTCAGGTATGCTGGAGTTCTTTGATACTTCTTGAGTTATATGTCTTAGTGCGTCTCTCATTTTGGATGGGATTTGGGTAGGGATGGTTGGAATGGACTTTTTAGCATCTGTTTGGCATATCTTGAAAGAAAAAAATTTGAAGTTCCTGGAAGTCATTATTGGATCAACACCCTGTCTTTGAAGTCATTTAACTGAATGTTGCAGTGTAGCATTGACAGAGATTTGTGATGGTGCACCAAAAGTTCTATGTGAGATGGCTCATTGAGGGCTACTGAAGAGCTCGAAGAAGTGTGATGGTAAATTGTGAGGCAAGGGGTAATGAGTTGGCAACAGAAGTCCCACTAGATAACTCAAAGAGTGATACCAAAAAAACAAATTCTTTAAAAAGATGATCAATGTTGGAAGAAGGATCCTGACTGAACTACCTAAGAAAAGAATAGGGAGAGGTTATAGTTAAAGATATGTAGAGGAGATAGATGGCGTAGCGACAATCCAATAGCTACATATGTAAATATTTTGTGTATTTATGAGTTATATCCAAAGGTGGGGAGAAGAAGACCAACATTTGATGGGCTTAGTTTTGACAGCATTTCAATTGAGATGGTAGGCGAGAGTGCAGATTTATAGATGGAATTTGCAGGGAATATTTGTATTGGGAAGATCCTAAAAGATATTATTTTTATATCTTGGTTCAATAATCCATGAAAAAGGAAAGATTGAGGAAGATGTTGCTCATAGAATTAGAGCTGGGTGGGCAAAGTTGACATGTGTTTTTGGAATTTTATGTGATTGTTGCATACCAATGAAAATGACGGGGAAGTTCTGTAGAACGGTTGTAAGACTAACCATGCTTTATGAAACGAAATGTTGGGCAGCCAAGAAACAACAAATCTATAGAGCGAGTCGAACTGAGATAAGATTTTGAAAAGGATAAGTGGCAAGACAAGGAAGGACAAAATTCAAAATGAATACATTCGAGGGAACGTAGAGGTAGCTCCAATAGGGATAAAATGAGGGAAAGTAAACTTAGGTGATCTAGTCAGTGTAGGGTCGACCTAAAATAATAATGGTTAGGAGAGGTGATTTGGTTCAAGTATAAGGCTCTAATAGGGTAAGGGGAAGGTCCTAACGAACATGGATAGAAATAGTGAGAAAAGATATGGTGACTTATGGTTTGACTGAGGGTTTGATAGAGCGAAATGGCGTAACGAGATTCGTATAGCTGACCCCAAATAGTTGGGATGAGGCTAGGATGATGATGATTTGCATTGGGAAGATATATTCTTTTTGTTTCTTCTTGACCTTTTTGGATCTCCTAAAAGATGACATAATGAAGCTATTTGATGAATTCCACAGGAGCAGCATGTTTAAATGGGGGTTGAATGCCTTGTGAGTGCCCCAGATCTTGGTGGACATTACGGAATATGGGCCAATCACCCATGCAAATTAGGTTTTGTTTTTTTGGCTTCTTAAAGCTTCAGTGACGTCAATTGTAGGGAATGAATCACTTTTTTTTTTCCCTGTGAGATATTTGTTTAGTTTCAAACTTTTTTATCTGTATGTCATTACTGTGTGATATGGTTTATTTGATCGGCCATTAACCATTGTTTGTCTTGACTTTGTAAACAGGAAGTATCTGTGCTTCGAATTTTTACATTGGCCTATCCATCAACCATAAACTTCTTTTGTAATTGAAAAAATTTGAATTGCTTTTCATCAGATTTGGTATCTAGAAGACTAGGTAGTCCAACATCGAAGTAGTCAATCAAATTATGCAAGTGATGAAAGAACGTTGTTCATTCACTTTTTAGTACGTCCCCTGGGGATTTCTTCCTGTGTTTGTCTAGGCTACATATGCCATGCACCCTGCACACCCCCCACCACCCCCTCACACCCAGTCAGAATCTGTGGGTTTGGTTATTGCTAGTGCGCAAAGCTTGCTGGAACTGGAAATGACAATTTTTATCTATGATTTCCTTAATGATTTTGTATCTGGTGGTGACATTGTAATGATTTTTGTTCTCTTAATCTGGTTTAAAACTTCATATATTGTGTGCTTTCAGCTATTTATGTCATTCAACTATCTGGAACGCGAGTGCTACTTTGTCATGGTTGCTAGTTTGACACTATTCTTTCTGATCAATGTTTGGCCCATGATTCCCATTATTATTGTTTAGTTAGGAACTTGAAGCCTATTTTGAAATGTAGTTATGATGTTCATCCTTAAGGGTGATTTGTGAATGTGGGGTATGTAGTTTATGTAGTTTATCAATGATTCTTCTTTCCTTTCTTTTTATTTTTCCTTTTGGGGTGGCTTGGTTGGAAGTTGGAACTTACAACCTCAAGAGCCTTCTAATTCATTTGTGGGTTTGAATCCAAAAAGCAATTTGTTTTATTCATTATTTCTTAGGGGAAATACTTCTTTCATGCTAATCCATACCTTTTGCGTGCAAAATTTTTGTATTTGGATTTGCCATATCTACTGCACTGTTCCTTCAGAACTTAAACTGCATATCATATTAAAAAGTATGCAAAAGACTCTTTCCCTTCTCCATGATTTTTTCTCCGTCTGAATTTTTTTTTGTTACACGTACAATAACTTTACATCCTAGTGTTATGGACTTCATTGCATTATAACTTGGTAACCATGTATCATTGTTTTCATTGCCATCTTGATCACTGGATTTAGCGATTTAAATTAAGAGATCTCCATTCTTTACTTGTCAAGTGGTTCATTTTTTATTTGAAAATATGTTAGCTGCCGAGCTACCCACAGCGCTGTTAGTCAAAGTCGCTTCCTTGTAGCATACTCATCAGGCATAATGCTGCATCTGAGACACTGTGGCAACATATTTTGTAAAACAATGGGCTGCCAAGCAGAGGTGAAGTATGGAAATCAAATATCATGAAATTGAAGGGTAATGGCATCAACATGATAATAGTTATTTAGTCAAACCAAGTACTGTTGGTGGCTATTAGTAAAGTCTAGTAAAGAGGGCCAAATGATGTAATTGTAAACACGTGCATGGAACTCCACCCTAGGCAAATTTGTAGAAGAAAGGAGAGAAAAAAAAATGTCATTGTTCCTTTGAATCTATAAGATACGGCGAATGAGGGGTCAGAGTTTTGAGCCTCTAAGCTAGTTGATGTGCATGACATGAAATTATTCCCTCATGTTTAATAGTTTTCTATGATTAGTTTTTAAAATTTAAGCAGAAGGATGAATATGGGGTTTGTAATAGTTGAAGAGAAGTTATGTAGATTTACTAAATGATTGATATAAGGGCTTGAATGATAAGGACTGCAAAACCTCACCGAAAGGTTATGTTTTAAGTATAAAGAGGGGGAATTTCACTTGTTATGAAACGACCGTCTAGCTAATTATTTCCAATGGAGTGGATGTAAGCTCCCAATATTTTGGGGACTCATTTGCTGGAATAGGATTCGTGTCGCCAACCCCAAATAGTTGGGATAAGGCTTGGATGATGATGATGATTTTGCTTAGGGTCTTACTCTCTCTCTCTCTCTCTCTCTCTATATATATATATATATATATATATATTCCTTGTCTAATTGTATCACCAGTGAAACAAACTTGTTGAAAGAGAATATTCCTTGTATAATTGTGTCACCAGTGAAAAAAAAACTTGATGATACTTCTCTTTCAACACGGTTACTCAGGAGAAAAACTAAAAACTGTTTATTTTTGCTCTGGTTTTATTTTGATTTTCTAGGTGCTATTAAATACTAGTTTCAAATCTCTTGCAGGTGTGCACCCAGAGGTCATGGAAGCGTCCTTATGGCGTGGGCCTCCTTGTTGCTGGCCTGGATGAGTTGGGGGCTCATCTATACTACAATTGCCCAAGTGGAAACTACTTTGAATACCAAGCTTTTGCAATTGGGTCTCGCTCCCAAGCTGCAAAAACCTACCTTGAAAGGAAGTTCGAGACATTCAATGACTCTTCACGTGAAGAACTCATCAAACATGGTCTCCTGGCTGTGAAAGAAACCCTGCAAGGAGAGAAGCTGACCAGCTCAATCTGCACTGTTGCCATTGTAGGGGTTGACGAGCCATTTCATAAGCTTGATCTGGGAACTGTGCAAGAGTTAATCGATGTCTTGGAGGCCGAGGAGGCGGGCACATCTGAGCCTCAAAGGGAAGGTGATCAGAGTGCCATGCAAGAAGACAGCCCCGATGTGGCTCCCATGGATATCTAAGTGGCGTGCAAATGAGGTTGACTTTCAATGTTTTCATCCTCCCTGGATTTTCAATTGGTCATTTGAATATGAATATGGGAAACATGCTCATCCGATTAATCACTTTCCTTTTGTTACCTTCGTCGCTTATTTGGTTTTTCTTTTCGTATATGACAAGGACAAGTTTTGTTAAATTATATCAAGCGACTGTTAATTTATCTCCTTTTTATCTGGAAAAAAAAATAGCTATATGGGGTTTAACTATGGTTTACTCATTGGGTTGATGTGGGCTTTAACGATGGAGATGATTTTGCGGTTGTTCAGAGCAGGCTGGTATTATTCTGATCTGATTGTTTTAAGAGAACAATTTTTTTTCTTTTTCGTTGGGATTGGGATGGGAATCTTGGGTTGATTTAAAAAGCTTCTTGTTTGATAAGAGGCTTTTCCTTCTGAAATCCTACTTCAGGGTAAACGTGGAACTAAAAATTGGATATCACAGTATGGTGGGAAAAAGGATCACCCCTTTCTCTATTGTCATCCCGTATTTCCTAAGGCGAGTACCGTGGCATTTTTGCTCCTTCATGCACTTGCTATCAGGACATCTTATATGGCCTTTGTATCATGATTACTGTATATATTGCCACTATCTAAGCACTAGGAAAAAGTACTGACATTAAGCTTCATATTCTCAATCGATATCTCCAAAATCTAGGAACAAAATGACTGCATTTTCTTCATATTCTAAGTCCTGGTTCTCTAAGGGTTATGATATTGTTGATATTTTGTGTGTTTTAAAAAATGGATGTGATCATTCTCCGTTTGGGCTACTATATCAAAGTACCTACGATCAATATCTGGTTTCTTTAGGAACCTTTTTTTCCAACTCAATTCTTCATTGGCCATGCTCTCGACCGATGAAATATTATTTAAAAAAAAAAAGTATACAAGACACTATTTACGTATGATACAAGGAGTTCACAATAATTGTCTGTCAGACCTTAAATCAGGTGGTTTGCAAGATTTTCATCGGCTAGACTCAAAATTGCAAAAAATAAAATTCGCGAATCTCATGACACATCTTTAGCCATTCAATCTGACATCATATGGCTAGACCTCCTTGTAGCAAAGATATGTGGTCTCACACTATATAATCCCATTCACAAATGTCATTGCTTCTTGGCGGTTGAATATAAATAAAAGATCTGGAGTGAGAGTTCTTTCTACTTTCTGTTTTTATTCTCTTTGCTGATATTTCTATATTCTTCATTGCTGAGACTTCAAGGAGAGCATCTCTACCATGGTTTACTCCCTCCAAACTTCTGGTGATCCATTTTGTTGTCATTCAAGTTTGATTCAAGGTACTTTTTAAACAGCAAATCAATATGGTGTTCGTGTATCTACCATCTTTTAGGGTATGAATTTAACAGAGACTTTTGCTGTTTCACTAGGCTAGGTTGTACTCATGGAGGTAGTTATCAAAGCTAATGCATCTTGAGAAACAGGTAGGGGATGCTAAATATCTTAAAAGATAGCAAGAACATCTTGTGCCAGTCTTGAGTTCAGTGGAATTCTACATCTGTTAATTTGTGTTTGTGGAGTTTTGAAGGTGGTTTCTTCTAGAATTGAAGTTCTCGTTGTTGTTAACTGAGTTGCTGTTGCATTTCATTGCGGTTTAGTGTCGTTAACTAATTTCGTTGTTGTTAAAGTTCTATATTGCTTTACCCGATCTGCTCTGCTTTACAATTTCCATTGCTATCCAGTTCCATATTGTGCTACGCGTTCTCCTTGTGGCTAACTGTTTGTTACACAATCTCTTGGTGGTAGCCATTACTATTGCTGTTAACAATTTTCATTATCACAAGCAGTGTGAACAGTTTTCGGTACTGTTATGAAAATACCAAAATTTTAGTCTTCAAGAACAGGAAAACCAAGGTTGTTCCTATAGTCTCTTCCAAAGATTTGTTCGTCCTTTCTTACTGAGGCAATTTTTTTTTGCATTCTTTTCAAGCACTTTCTTTCGTGCCTCTTAATGTGTTAGTATTTTAGGTTTTGAAAAATACTTGTGTGTATTTTAAAATGACAATATGGTTTTGTGCAATGTTTCTAAGCTGTGTATTTTATAAAGAAAGAAAGGTGTGCTTTTTTAGTCCCACATTGAAAAGAAGAATGTGAATTAAATGATATTTAAGTGTAGAGGTTCTCATATTTTATATTCTCAGTACAAAGGTAAGAGTGATTGGTAAACATGTATGCCTAGGGCGTTTGATGGTGCACTTTGTACTTCATGTGTGTGTGGGTCGGGTTCTTGCCGTTTGAGGAAATGGATGCTCGTAGCCGTCGAGATTAAGGGAGTCTTAATGTAGTCTTTCCACACCTTTTTCTCGCACCATTCTGTACGAAATTTGAGAGAGCATGACATAGACTCATCTCTCTCTACTCGTTTCCTCTATTTCTCTCTCTAAACAAAACATATGGTGTCTAGTGCGGGCTTCAAATACGAGTGCATAGAGCTTTGGAGCATCAAAAGATACCCTTATGTTTTCATGCATCTCGAGGATGAATTGTTTTTCCTTATGCACACAATTTACAATATCGAAAGACGATAAATATCGTCTTGAGATAATGCTCATGCATTCTTGAAAATTAGAAGGATTCAAGCTATATTTTGTTAAGAACAATTGTTTCATGCGGGTTAGACCGCAATTCTAAAATATGCAGTCCAAAGGTACAAAGAATCATCTTAAAGATGGATGCAAATTAGTGGTACATCTAAAAAGAATTGTAACTAACTGTTCAAATGTTTTCTTAATATATATTATTTCTAATTTTCATTTTTTTTTCATATTCATTATCTCCATATATATTCTCTAAAAATTATGATAAAATTATATTTAGAAATATATTTATTGACAAGCCTGCATTTCTACATGTGTGGACTTGGCCTCATGCTAATCGCATCCTTTTCTTAATTCGTACTGTCTTTTTGCCCCTGTTTAACCCAACCAACTCCCAACATAATGCATATAGATGTTGGCTTCTCCGGAGGGAATCGGCCAATTTAAAAATCCTTTCTCTATATCTTGTGTTTTAATCGTACGGCTACGTGGGTGCAGTGTAGGCCCTTTGAGGGAACATAGGTTGCGTTCTTGGACATTAAATAAGTGGTATTGTCTTTTACGTATGTTAAGGGTCTTCACAAAACTGCAACTGCATTTCATTTTCTGAGACTCATGGCGATCCATTCAAGAAACCAAGAAATGCTTTCCTTAGTTCTAGGGAAGATTGGAGAGAACGGTTGTTAACTCCATCCAAATGGCATATCAAATTTGATACTCCAAATAGAAATGGGCATGCTTTTCTTCTTTTATGCCTTGTTCTATTACCTTATTGTCCTATATGCGATGACTTCATTAATTGTTTTCTTCTTTTATACCTTGTTCTATTCCCTTATTGTCCTATATGCGATGACTCTTATCAACCTATAACCTCAAGTCTCACCCCTTTACCTATTTATAGGCTATGATGAAAGTTATGTAACCTACCAAATGAAACAAGTATTCCATAACTGGGCTTGAGCCAGGCCTTGGCCCAAGCCTGCACTGGTGTGCATCAGGCTGAAGGGGGGTCAGGCATGGTCCTAGCCCATTTTGGGAGTGGCCAGACCTAAAAAGACTCAAAAAGAAAAAAAAAAAAAAAAAAAGGAAAAAAAAGCAGGGTTAACGCGGTCTTGTTGGGGCCACAATCCTAACTCAGTCCGTCAAGCCATTGGGTCATGTTGGCTGGAATTAAAAGGCTCAAAAGAAAAAAATAAATAAATAAATAAAAGAAAAAAGGGGGGCCATGATGGTCCAACCCAAGCCTGACCTGCGGCCATGATGGCCTAGCCCTCGAGCCACATTGTGGCCCACGTCATAGTTTTTCAAGGCTGGGCTGGGCTAGGCTGCCATTCCATTTGCCAACACTACGTATAAAATAAAGCACTAGAGAGTTTCAGACCCACGATCAATAGTCTATAGTTATTTAGTAAAATAGTCCATATTTATTCAGTAAAGATGGGTGATGAGCTATCCCCTAATTTTATAGATATTTATTTATTAGTAGAAGCGTGGATGATTGATGCTAGCTACCCTAATATCCTACACGTATAAATTATATTATGTTTTGTTCCTTTCATTGTGGATAACCCTTAAATTTCTTTAATCGTTTGAAAGAAAGACAGGAGGGGGTTCGAGAAATTTCCCTGTTCCAAAGCATGCCCAAGGTGGTTTCTCAATAACACTAATTCTATATTTCCATTTTAATCTTGAAAGAGATTTAATGATCTTGTGGGTTCATATTATACATTTTGCCTTTCCCCCGCCCCCACCCCCACCCCCACCCCCACCCACAAAGATCAAATTAACTTTGGGTAATTCATCACCACAACAACAAGAACAATTTTAAAATTGTTGTAGTTTGAATAAGATGTCTAACCTTAAACAATAAGGGGTACTTTTAAATCTTGTTAAAATAAGTAGTTCTGCGGTTGAAAACCTTAATGATGACTTAAAAGTTCTATGTTAATGGAGAGATCGAAGAGTATGTTGCATATATAATTATAGCTGGGTAGACGAAGTGGAGAGGTGCTTCCGGAGTCTTATGTGATCATAGCATTCCGATGAAATTGAAGGAGAAGTTCTATAGGGTGATTGCAAGAAACAACATGCTCATAGAATGAGTGGTGCTGAGATGAGGATGTTGAAATGGATGAGTGGTAAGACAAGAAATGATAAAATTCAAAATGAATACATATGAGAGAACTTAAAGATAGCTCCGAATGGGCAATAAAATGAGGGAAAGTAGACTTAGATGGTTTGGCCATATGCAATGTCAATCTAGAACAGCATTGGTTAGGAGGAGCGATTTGGTTAAAGTAAAAAACTCGAAAAATGCATGAGAAATGCACAAAAAATATATATGAAAGTAGTGAGAACAAATATGATGACCTATAGTTTGACTGAAGGTATATTCCTAGATAGACTGGAATGACAAAATATAATTTACGTAGCTAACCCATAATAATTGGGATAAGGCTCTGATGATGATGATAATGTCTCGAGGTCGAGATGATCATTTATAGGGTTTTTTGACGTCTGAAAAATATTTTTGGGAGGATTTCAAATAATATAAATCCCTATGCTAAGGTGTTTTCCTTGCAAGACCAAATGTAGAGTATTCCCATGGAACCTCTATGTACACACCAATTTTGATATGATTTGGGAGTGCATATACTATTCTCCTGTGAGAGAAATTGTTAATTTGCTTCGTCGATTAAAAGATGTAACTCGGAAAAATTGGATTTGAAAATTTGGGATCTACTAATATCATTACATCATTATCATTCAAACCTTATCCCAATTATTTGAGGTTGGCTACATGAATCATGTTACTCCATTCGTGCCTATCAAGAGCCATACCCTTAGTAAGACCAAAAGTTACCATATCTATTCTCACTACTTCTATCTATGTTCTTTTAGGCATTGCTTTCCACTTTAAGTAAATTACACCTCTTATCGGTGCTGTGTAGGTCTAAGCTGCATATGGCTAGCCCATCTAAATCTATTTTTCCTCATCTTATCACCTATTAGAGCCACACCTAAGTTCCCTCATATACATTAATTCTGAATTCTATACTTTTTTTTCTTGTTACTCGTCCATTTAAACATCCTCATCGTAACTACACTCATCCTTTGGACATGTTGTTTATTTACCGCCTAACATTCCGTCCCATAAAATATAGTTGGTCTTACAATTATTCTATAGAACTTTACCCTTTAGTTTCAGTGGCATGTGGCGATCATATAAAACTCAAGATGCACATCTTCACTTCACCCACCTAGTTCTAATTCTATGTGTGACATTTTCTTCAATTTCTCAATTCTTTTGGATTATCGATCCTAGATATCAGGAATAATGTCTTTTATTATTTTTTGGCCATCAATCTTAACTACTTCTTCATTTCTACTTTTATTATTACTAAACTTGCATTCCATATATTCTATCTTAGTCCGGCTAATTTTAAAATCTCTAGATTTTAGAGCATCCATTCATTATTGTAACTTTGTATTAATGCAACCTCTAGTGTCATTAATCAAAACTAAGTCATCCAAAAACAATATATATCATGGTACCTCATCTTGTAGGTGCGTGGTTAACTCATCTATAACCAAAGCAAAGATATATGGAATTCACTTGTATCTCCACTAGTTATCGGTACACAAGTTAGCTCTACCTTGTAAATATCTTTCATTATGTCAATAAGATAATTATTAAAAAAAAAAAAGATTATGGGCTTCTTAATCCTTGGATCTTGCTATCTAAATAAAGGGCGGTACTCATTCAATTTTAAGACATTATTTTTTCAAACTCATAGGATGTATATTTCTTTTTTGTGGAGTTGGTCTCCAAGTAGCAGATGGTAAATCCATAAAATTTGGCGTCCTAAATACTTCTAATGTTTTTTTTGACCAAGGGAGTAAATGAACAATTTGCTCCAAGGAGAGCACAAAATCATTTGGCATGGTCAATATGGCAAAGCTGAATACGCGGGACGTAGCTGGTGACGTTACAAACGACATGGCCTGCAATACCGATGATAGCGATGCCTTCCAGCTTTATACATCCCCTCATTATAATATTAGAATATCCCTTATTATATATAAAATGAAATTAAAATAAGTAATGGAAGAATGCCTAATTTGGCTCTCACTACTTGTCTCGACCCTAAATCCCATTAATCCAAACCACTCCCTTGGAATCTTAAACCAAAGAACCATACTGCTATATAAGCCTCCCTAGCCTAGTGCCACAGGGTTCAGTGCCACAGGGTTCGGACAGCCACTCATACTACTTACTCTATGTTTCCTTGACCTTGTGCAGCCAGGGAGGAGCGAGTGACCTAAACCTCACCAAATACCCATTCTACTCTACGTTTCCTCAGCCTGGTGCACCAGGAAGATAGTGATTTAAACCTTACCAATAAGAGTACTCCTAACCTAGTGCAACCAGGTTGAGAGAGAGAGTTCCTGAGATGAGGATGTGCCGAAAGCCTGCGAAGGGCCGCGAAAAGTATGTTGGGGTCCGACAGAGGCCCTCAGGAAGATGGGTCGCAGAGATCAAGGACTCGGCTCATAAGGTCAGGTTGTGGCTCGGCACCTATGACAGTGCAGAGGATGCAGCGCGTGCGTACGACGAGGCGGCTTTCTCGCTCCGGGGGCCCGGGGCTCGAACCAACTTTGGCAATCCGACCTCGACCTCAAACCAGGTGTCTGCGAACGAGGACCCGACACCGTTCTCGTTTGAGGGCCCTGAAGAGTCCACATGCGTGGTGGGGGGCTTAAGGGGTGCCTTGCAGGCAAAGTTGATGGAGGGTAGGGGGCTGAGCAGGGGCACGGTTGTGGGTCCCGCATCGTCGGCGATTAATTCGGTTTCCGAGAAGGGATCAGGGGATAAGAGTGAGATGTGGAATACATGTTTAGGGGGAGGAGGTGGTGGTGGTGGTGGTGGTGGTGGTGGAGGTGAAGGTCCCGGTGAGAGTGGAGGAGGGGGGGATGGGAATTTTGAGTTTGTTGGGGGTTTGGAGGAGGGAGAGAATGGGAGTTGGGCATGGGATTTGCTTCTTCCATCTATGTTTTCTCCTTCCTAGTCCTACTCCTACTCCTTTAAGTTAGGGGAATGGAATGGAATGGAATGGAATGGAGTGGAGTGGAGAGGAGCCCAACAAATACTTCCACCCCTAAAAGGTTGTAGGAAAATACTTTCCATGTCCTCTCACACAACCATGGATTTCCTTTTTTTGTTAATATGTTGTGGGGTAATGCCTTCCCACCTTCTCATTATTGTTTAATACCCAGCTTCTCATTATTGTTTTTCCTTCATGTGCCACCATCTACCATAGGGTTTACCTACATATTCCTATTTAATGCACCATATTCGACTTGAAATTCACTCCTATGTATACGGTGCACCTACTTACCCAAAAAAAAAAAACAACGTGCACCTTATACATAGCAAATTGTGCAGTTACGCCTTCCGCCGAAGAGGCCCTAACCAGGCCTTACACTGGTCCTATTCAGGCCAGGCTAGACCAAGTACAATCAAAGAAGAAAGGAAAAAAAAAGTAAAAAAGTGTTGGACGGGCCTTTTCGTGGCCCTAACCCATGCTCGCCCAGGCCCTCGTGCCACATTTTGTGGTCCAAGCCCTAATTTTAGGGCCGGGCAACCATACTAAGTTTGCCAAAAACCAACCAAAGTTGATAACCCCCTTCTTTTCCTTGTTTCTTTTCTTCTCATTTTTGGTGGAAAATATCACTTAAATCTTTAAGCCACTTTAGAAAATAATATAGGTCGGTAAAAAATCACATTGACCACTCAAATGTGCGCTTTTATCACAATGATGATCCTTCTTAAAAAATACCTTAAGAAAATTAAATTACCTCTATTCAAGAAATCTAAAATACTTTGACCTAAACCTGAGCCAAACAACAATACCCCTTATTGTTGAGGTTAGTAGTCCAGAGCAACAAAATGATAATAATGATAATAACCTCGTTTGTATTAAAAATACAAAACTCGTTTGTATAAAGTGGCCTTCTTATACTGTAGAAGTAAGGCGCACCTCCATAACTTGGTTGGAAATGTAGTTTTAGTATAAGAAATCTTATGATCGCTTGAAAATCTAGTTTTATTGTTGAGGTTAGTAGTCCAGAGCAACAAAATGATAATAATGATAATAACCTCGTTTGTATTAAAAATACAAAACTCGTTTGTATAAAGTGGCCTTCTTATACTGTAGAAGTAAGGCGCACCTCCATAACTTGGTTGGAAATGTAGTTTTAGTATAAGAAATCTTATGATCGCTTGAAAATCTAGTTTTATCCATAGTTACGAAATTTAAAATTTAAACAATAGTACAGATCGAGTAAGTCAATAAACACTTAAAATTCTTGAAAACGGACGGTCGAGTAATATGTTACAAGATGTATTATTTTTATAGTGCATCTCAAAATCGAGATAAACTGCACTAAATTATTATTTTTCTTCATATCTGTACATCTCAAATTTGAGATGATCCATTGGAGGATTTTCCAACATCTGAACCCTCTCATCTAGAGGATTTTTGAGGTACACCTTACTTCACTTGTACAAATTTACACCTTATATAAAATTTTTCCAATTATTATTACCTTACCAAAATGCCGCTAGTAATTAGGGTTCCAAAACTAAAGAGTGGCAATTTGGAAAATTTTGAAAGTTTATATGTTAATAAAACTTGAAAAAATGAATAAGACCATTTGATCGCCTTAGTAATTTTGAAAAGGGAAAGAAATATCTTCATGCTCTTGTTGATCTATGGTGCACAACATTAGGCATTTTCTTGATTCGTTGATTTACTATGGCCTCAAGTGTCTAATGCATATTTTTAAAAGGGATTGTATATAATGAGACCATTCATCTTTGGTATAGAAAGGTGGCAATTACTTACAACCATCCGATATGAAATTTGATAGCTTGGGTATGTCATAAAGTTCAAATTTTTTTTTTTTTGAACTTTGAGCTTGGTCAATAAAATAAATACAGCTACACAATTTCACGTCCAATAGTCAAACTTAATTGTGACCATCTTGTACTCAAGATAAATAATCTCATTATATACTTTCTTTTATAAAAAAATATTTTTTTATCTATTCATAGTTTTTGGTTTAAGAAGGGGAAGGACCTTAAATTTTCCCTCACCCATCACATGCCGAAGTAAAAGAGGTGGATTTGGCCGTCAATATAAAACCTTACCAAAACTTTATATAAATCCTGAATTTATGTTACCTTCTTATGACTATTGGTAGCAAAAAATGATAGATCACGTGGGGATTCATATAGCCGACCTCAAATAGTACGAAAAAAAAACTAACGAATATGATGAGGAGTAGTAATTTTATAAAATAATTTAAAAGTTTAAGTGTTATTTTCCCCTTTACCCACATAAAAATGTGTAATACAAAAGTATTCATGTATGTAAGAACCTCGCAATTTTAACCACCGAGTCGTCCAATCTTCACCAAATCTCTCCAGCCTTATCCCAACCCCAGCACGGACACTATGCGATAAAGAAGCAGCTCACGTATCCTTCCTTCCTTCCATTTCTCCTTGGCCACAGCCATGGCTGCACGCTGCTCTATTTCCTCCTTCCCTTCTCTCTCATCTCCCAAAACCCTAAGACCCAAACCTCTCTGTCACACTTTTTCTCTCTGTACCCTCCCAAAATTCCAAGTAAAAAATTCAAAAAAACCCATGATTTCCATGTCCTTTGAAGCTGGAATTGGGGTTATGGGAACCAAGCTCGGAATGATGACCTATTTTGAACCAGGTGGCAAGGTTGTGCCCGTAACCGTGGTTGGGTTTAGAGAGGGAAACATTGTGACCCAGGTAAAGACGCAGGCGACGGACGGTTACGATGCAGTCCAGGTTGGTTATCGGAGGGTCAGGGATCGAAAGCTAACTAAACCAGAGTTGGGTCATTTGAACAAGATAGGGGCAATACCTATGAGGCATTTGCAGGAGTTTAGGTTGACATCGCTTGAGGGGTTTGAGCCTAGCCAGAAGTTAAATGTGGAAGAGTTATTCAATGAGGGCGATTTGGTCGATGTTTCGGGGAACTCAATTGGGAAGGGGTTCCAAGGTACATTGAATTCAATTAATTCTCTCTCTTTCTCTAAGTTTCTCTACATTCATTTGCCTTCTGTTCGCCTAGTGGAAATGATGAGTTTGGGGATTCTGAATGTTGTTTAATTTTGCAAAATCCAAATGGAAATTTCTGAAAATTTGGATTTCGTGTTAGATTGCTTCCATGGAGTTGTTTGTTCCTATTATAATTTAATTTCGTGCTACTGTTTTCATGGTTTTTTGTAGGATACTGCTCTTTTTCTCTCTCTGTCTAGTTCTCCGAATTTGATTTTGATAAATGGGTAGGCATTGAAAAAACCAATGAGAACTGGAGTACTTCCACCATACTATTTGATTATTATGGGCATAAGTATCATAAGTCGAATTCTCCTGTAACTATTTATTTGTAATAAAGAATAATGAATAGTTTTTTATTCGTTCTTCAATTGTTCAATTTTTGTTCCTCCCATTCTTCTCTATCAACGACCATACCCTCGACTAAAAGTCACCGTATCTTTTCTTACTGCTTCTATTCATGCCTTTTGGGTCTTCCCCTTGCCTTTTAGAGCCTTCCACTTGAACCATATCACACCTCCTAACCAATATTGTAGTAGGTCTACATTACAAATGGCTAGTCCATCTAAATCTATGTTCCCTCGTCTTATCACCTATTGAAGTTACACCGAAGTTCCCTTGTATGTATTCATTATGAATTCGATCATTGTCTTGCTACTCATTCATCTCAACATCCTCATCTCCGTTACGCTCATGCTGTGGATATGTTGTTTCTTGACCACCAAACATTCCTATAAAGCATGGCTGGTCAACATCTGATGTATAGAACTTCTCCTTCAATCTCAATGGTATGCGGCAATCTCATAAAACTCCGGATGCACATCTCCACTTTGCCCATACAACTCTAATTCTATACGCAACACCTTCCTCAATCTCTCTATCCTCCTGGATTATCGACCCTAGATATCAGAAACAATTTCTTTTAGGTATTTCTTGGCCATCAATTTTAACTACTTCCTCGTTTCTACTTTTATTATTATTAAACTTGCATTCCATATATTTTATCTTAGTCCGACTAATTTTAAAACCTTTAGATTCTAGAACATCCCCCCAACATTCTATCTTTCATCTATCTTATCCTAAAATAGGGTCAAGTTGAAAGCGTATACACTGCAGTCCGCCTAAATTGGTAAACCTTTACAAATTCTGTCTCTGTTTGGGTTGTAGATTGACTTGTTGATACATGCATAAAGAAAGAGAACTAGAATATTCACATGTGAAGTGCTCATCTATATCATCATGTAACAACTTCCTCGGTTGCATAATAATTAGAGTGAGATATGAGGCCTGAGATAGGCATTCCTATAATTGTTGAATCTCTTGGTAGACTTCTAAAATGGGCTATAAAATTGACAACCACTGAGGGCCATTATTCAGGATGAGGTACAAAATGGGTTTCTTAGATACAATTCATGGATGGCAATATAGTTTTAGCATAGCTTCTATGGGTCACTCCCTCTTTCATAGTTTTGCAGCAATGTGTTTTGAGGAGTTGTTAGGGAAAAATAGAGGATAAGTAATTGCATTATGCATGTTGACATGGTTCAGGAAATGGCTAAACAATGGGTGGTGATGTATTTACCAATGTTTTGAAATTGGGCTGTGGCCTGAGCCAAGTTAGTTGGTGGAGTCTTGCTTAACACCAAAATAGGCCCAAAAATCTTTATTAAGAACAATAAAGATCAGCAAAACTAAAATAAGCAATATAAATAATTAAAAGTATGTAAAAGATTAAAAATTATATGAAGGATGGATATTGAAAATTTTGGTTATACCTTGGAATGCTTAAAAAAAACAAAAAAAAAAAAGAAAATTAAAAAAATTAAAGCATATAATGGGAGATGTTCACAAATCATCATAAAAGTCCTTAAAACACATATGAAAACATATTTCTAAATTATATACTAGTGTTTGTAAATCATAACAAATTATACCTTGGAATGTTTCAAAAAATTAAGAAAAGAAAAATAAAAAATTAAAGCATATATATTAAGAGAAGTTTACAAATCATCATAAAAATCCTTAAAACACATATTTCTAAATCATATATTAGTGTTTCTTTAACAAAATTTGTGATTCTTAAAGGGAATTTAAGAAGTGTACAGAAACTCGCTTTGGCAGGGCCCTGAGGCTGAGTTACCGATCCTAGTCCAAGTTACTTCTTCGATTCCAATTTGACTTGGCTGTGTCCCTTAACACTGGTATTCACCCTTCCTTGTAAAAATATCCAGCTTGCCCTTGTGTGTTAGTGCTTCTGGGGATAACTTTAGGATCCAATTTTTTTTCATTTGGTGAGAGACTTGACAAATATGTAACTGTATTACATTATCTTTGTCCAAAATGTTGGAGATGGTCATTAAGTAGGAAACCTTAATATGACTTTGTATGAAATGGTGGATTTTCTTGGTTTAAAGTGAAGGAAGCATGCAGATCAATTATTGCTGGGGCCCGGGTATTTGGAAGATGGATATTGTAAGTCCATGTTGATTGATTGTCTTCTGCATTTCGGGACTAGAAATTTGTCTCTAGAGAAAGATTATTATGAGGAAGTTTGTTCTTCATGGTAGTGAGATATTAGATGGAAAATGGAGCAGTACTTCTTCAGTTGTTTGGAGGGTTGTTCACTCTCTAGTGGATATTGTAGGGAAGGGTGCATTGTTATGTGGTGTCAAATTTTGTTGGGACAGGTTGCATGGAGAGTTAACTTGGAGATTAGTAGAATCATTTGATGGATTATTTTGTAACAGGCGGTGTAGAGTGTGGAGCCCTCCCCTTCATTTGACTTATGGCTTTAGGCTCTGTTTGGGGGACCAAATTTGGATAATGGGTCCATACTTTTTTCATTCATCCAATTATGAGTGAGAAAGGAGCCTGCTTGATCTGCCCTCATATTGATGGGTGACGGATCCTTGCAATCCTGGTTGTCAGAGAAATGCCACCAAAACAGGACTGGCAATTAAGAACATAGGTCTAGTGATTAAGGATTGAGATAATCGAAGTCAATATCTTGAAAACAGGACCAAAAGACTTAGTCTGGTCCTATCTATTGCAGCTGATGATCCAACTGGTTGGATGACAGCAGAAAAAGCGGAACAGAAAATCTTTTTATAGTTCTAACTTGTTTAAACTTTAAACCCAGTTTGATGCCTTCAGCCAGATGGTTTAGAGCAGTTCACAACCAGTTTGTGGATATTCCTGGTTTAAGGTGATCATGCGGTTGCATCTCTTTTTCTGACTGGCTTGAATAGAATTTGGTTATTCGGTCGGTTGGAAAAAATTGATTCGGCAATGTTAGACTAAATATTAACATACTTATATTGTTTGGACATTTTTTGTGCGTCAGTGTCCAACATGGGTGTGGGGTGTTAGAATCCTCATGCCATGAAGAATAGCACTCAGCGACATGGCTATATTTTGAGATAGCCAAATCCAACAATTCTTATTCAAGTTCATGATTAGTAGCAAGAACTAGTCAATCATACTGTAATTGGCTGAATGAATAATTATTTCATAGCTCCATTGACATTTTCAAAGTTCACATGTCTACTCAAAAAAAAAAAAAAAAGAATTTTCTCTAAAATAATGTAATTGATGGTTAATAAACAGGAAGAATCTGTATCAATATGTGTCAGACATGAGTAGGGCACCTAAACACACAAATCCATGGAACTTATAAAAAATGTTGGCTATCTAACTATGGCTACAGTCAAATTTGAAGCCTTGCTTGGTGTACATCCGCACCACGTTGTATTCTCCATTGTTTATGGGATGTGAGATTTGGATTCTCCATTTCTCTAAACTAAAATGGAAGTAAGTAAATTTTCATGACCATCTATGTTTTGTTTGTTCATTGATTTTTAAGTAAGCATATCCCATTTGTAAAATTTGAAGATTTAAGAACTAAATCCCCCAAATGCAATATACAACCCTTTGTGTAATAAATGTTTTATTTGTATTACTTGCCATTCCATTGACTTTTTGCTTTAATCTTTTTCAGGTGGAATCAAGAGGCATAATTTCAAGCGTGGTCCAATGACTCATGGGTCCAAAAGCCACAGGGCTTTGGGTTCCATTGGTGCAGGTACCACACCTGGTCGGGTGTACAAAGGCAAGAAAATGCCTGGTAGAATGGGAGGCACCAAAACGAAGATCAGGAAGCTAAAGATTGTTAAGATAGATACTGAGCTACGCGTTGTCATGATCAATGGTGCAGTTCCTGGAAAACCAGGAAATCTTCTTCGTATTACACCGGCAAAAATTGTAGGGAAGAACATCCCCAAAAATTAGGTTAGGTCTTGTCTTCTCCCTATCTCTTTCCTGCTACATTCCTTTTGTTGTACTTACTTTTGGTAGACTAGTGGTGGAATTTGAAGGTTTGAATATTGAACTGCAATGCTGAATGCCCTAAGTGTGGGTGCAAGAATCCAAACCCCTCCCTTTTGTTTTACTTGGTTTCTCCAATTTAAATGTATTAATTCGTTTTTTGGTCATGTTAAATATAAAAAAGAGTGTCAGGCTCATGCTTACAAGACTCTGCTTATTGAGTCAAACACCATGTGTGTCCCCATGTTAAACAAAAAATATAGAAAATTTCTTGTGAATTTTTTTTAAAGAGAGTAGTTTCTAAGTTTGAACTCCTAATCATCTTTGAGTTGGGTATTACTCTTTCTCTTCCGGGGTGGGGGTGCTTTGCAGATAATCCTTGCATGGGATTGTCTTTAAAGAGACCATGTATATTTTGTACATTGAGCTCCCAATCATCATTGTCCCTTAAATTTCAAAATGGGTGGTTGTAAGAGTGTGTCATGATACAAAGTTCTAAAATAAAAATTCTTGGACTTTGTGGCTCACTGCAAGCCATACAATTTGACATCTAATGAGTAGAAATGATTATGACATCCGTTTACAAAAGATATATGCTCATTTTGTAGACAATTCCTTTCTTCCTACTAAAGTTTGGAATAAGGCTGAACCGCATTTGGTTGTATTCCAATACTTTTGGTTGGTTGGCCCGGTTTGCTTGCATCTAGGAGCAAAATATCCAGGCATGTATGAGGGAGGCCAATGATTTGTCTCAGCACCACCAAAATGCCACATAGTGAAATTAATATACGGCAGTAATTGTTTGCGTGCATATCACTCTATCTCTTGCCCGTGTTCATGTGCATGCAGAAAGCCCACAAACACATGCACACATGTGATAGATTATCATTGGATTATGCCGACATTACATATGCATTTGACTAATGCCATTTGATTACTGTAATGGAAATTACAGTTACTTAGCTTTATAATCAAGTCAGTATTCACTCTAAATTCCTTCTCTTCAATCTTGCTATATTGGAAACCAGAGCAGTATGCAACTGTGATGTGCAAGCTCTCCAAAAGCAAATGTATTAGCATCTACGCGCCTTCCAGGTTGGGGGCCTGTTATTTTCATTTCAAACGTCAAGAAGGAATATGAAAGAAATGAAGGGACGTGTTTCTCCCTCTTATCTCTTCTTAAAAAAGTAACGGACGAATGTTTACATATTCCTCGCTCTCGACTTTCGTCCTTTATACATTAAGGTGACTGATGATCTTTTACTCTTTCCACTGTCCGTGAGGCCTTCAACATTCTCATTCATATTTTGAATCTAATTCCTAGATATTATAGATTTTTCAAATAAAAGTTCTGGGGATTTATGAGTTTCGGCATTCTGGTGGTTCTGTTTTCAGTGTACAGCATCCTTCGTTCATTATTTTTTGAGGCATTCACCTATACCTCTGATTTTGAGGCTCATGGATGTAACCCCTAGGCATTCGCATGATTGCCTTTGACTCTCAGAGTTACATCTTTCTAACCAGCCTCAAACTCATGCCAGTGCTTTCCTGTGCCTCCTGGTTATGTCACAGCTACTCTAATTCTCTACATCTATTGTAATTTATCTCAACAATTTGGGTTTCAAAGCAATGCTTCCATGCAAAGACCAACCAAGGCTTACCACAAACTAACCAAACCAGCTTCGATTTCAAAACCATTACGTATTGCTGGCAATGGTCAACTTTCATAGCATTATGCATTGTTTTTTTCCCTATTGAATCAATTGAATTATGGTTAAGTACTTGATCACCAGCAGTTGTGCAACAGTTTACTTAGTTATACGGACATTTTAAATACCAAAATTCTATATCGCATTCAGCTACCTGTATGAAGTTATGTGTCCCAAGTTTCCATCAACTGAGGAAACTAGACCCAGTTTATGGTACCACAGTCACCATAAAGAAGAATAGCTGGAATAGAGGCCTTTAATGTCACAAAATTTCAAAAACTAGAGTATGATGCTCTGCAAATGTTTGGTGAGTCCCGTACTTAACCATTTAAGTCAGGTTCGATAGACAATTTCAAAGGCATTTATATTGAGAATCAGTCATTTTAAGGGCAATTATATAGAGATAGTTATCAGAGAAGAACCTTGTGCTTTTTCTATAAACTGCAGCAGTTTCGAAAAACTTGGAGAGAAGATAGACTGAACAGTTCTTGCAACTTCAATCTCAGACTGAGACCTTAAAGCCTAAAAGATCAAACATCTCTCTCTCTCTCTCTCTCTCTCTCTCTCAACCTCCTACCCAACTGTAACAACCCACTACCCACAAAATCACTACCCTACCGGAACGACCCATTAACAACAAAATCACTTACCAAAAAGTAAATTCATCACACTTCTAAACACGTGCCCTCTCTTGCTCAAAATCTCTCTAGTTGCCTTCTCATCAGGGGCAAATCCCCTGGCCTTCATTTTCTCCAAGTACACCCCAGCCTCTTCAGTCTTCCCCTCTTTACATAAACACTCAAAGAAAGTCGTGTAAGTCCCAGCATTTGGTTTAATTCCCTTATCCATCATCTCCAATAAAATCTTATTGGCCTCGGAAAATTTCCCATCTCTCGAGAGACCTTTTATAAGTACAGTATACGTATAAGCATTTGGTTTAACACCAGAGGCCAACATTCTCGTATAAACCTTCATGGCCTCTTTGCTTTGACCAGCATTCGCATAAGCTTCGATAACAGCGGTGTGAGCAACAATGTCAGGCATTTGTCCCTTATCTTTGATCACCCCGAAAAGCTCCATGGCTTCATGGGTTAACCCATCTTTAGACAAAGCATCGAACATTTTAATGGCGTTCGGAATCAACCCTTCCGACTTCATCTTGTAAAAAATCTCTTGAAGGTTTTTTGGGTCCTCTGGTTCTTCAACAACTGGTTTTTTGCTGAATGGGTCATAAGGAGGGGGGAGCTTGCTCTTGTCTATTACCTTGTTCTTCTTTTTTGCTTCTTCTTCTTCATCGTCATTGTCTGAATCAGAGTTGTTGAAATTAAGCTTCGTTGTGCTGTTTGATTTCGATTCAGAGCTGAACCTTTTGAAGAGAGAGAAAATGGAAGTGGATTTTTCTGGGTTATTGAGATTGGACGAGATTTGAATGTTCCCTGGGATTGAGGTGAAAAACTTTGCAGAAGGGATAGAAACAGAATTGGGTTTTGGAAGTAAGGGAACAGAGAGAGAAACGATCGGGAATAGGTGAGAGATTTTGCGATAATGAGAGAGAAAGCACTTACCAATTGACGATGCAGAAGAACTGCAAATAAGGAAGCGGGAAGTCACCATTTTCACTTTGTAAAGTGCAAGCAGAAAGGAGGGGCGGAACGAGACAAGCACGCTGAGAAATGCAGGGTTCAAAGTCTATATAAAATGAAAGGAATATATCCTCGGATTGTATATAATGAGATAATTTACCTTTGATATCGGTAGGGTTGGTGATGGACCCGGACCCAACCCGGAACGTGTCAGTAAACCTGACATGGGTCCGGATATGGGTCCAACATTTGGACCCACGGGTTGAGTCTGGGTTCAAATCTTGGACCCAAAAACTATTCGGGTCAGGGTTTGGGTTCAGTTGGACCCGACCTGTACCTGTAAACAGTTGGAGATAAAATACTTCAAGCCCTAATAAGACAGCTTGAAATCCAACGGCATGTCATTGTGGCTTTGTTGCCAATAACATGAATATAAAATAGTAAAAAATTAGCAAAAAAGAAAAAAGAAACTCATAATGATGGTGGTAATCGGTCCAACCAGACTCAAGACCCAACGGGATAGACCAAAGAACCGACATGTGTATGGGTCCAACTTTTAGACCCGACAGGTCGTGTCTAGGATCAAAACCTTGACCCAAATACATTTGGGTTTGGGTCTGAGTCCAGCCGGACCCGACCCATACCCAACCTGTTGCCACCCCTAGATATCGGGAGGTAACAATTATTTACAACCATCCGATGTGAAACCTTATAGTTTGGATGTGTTATAAAATTCAAATTTCCTTTTTCAAACTTTGAGCTCTGCCAATAAAATAAATGCGGTCATCGAATTTCACATCCAATAGTCAAGATTAATTATGATCACCTTGAACTAAAGGTAAATGGTCTCATAATATACTTTTTCATATATCGTAGGCTACCCCAACTACTTTGAAAGTGATATTAGAAAAAACAAATTATAAATTTTGCCAAAATATGTAGTTTTGGTGTCGGAAATTTTACAATGCATTGAAATTCCATTCTCAACCTTAACAATAGAATTTAAAATTCAGAAAATAGTGCAATCGAGCAAATCTATAAACACTTGAAAATCTTGAAAATTGAAAGTCCAAATAATTTGTTAAAAGATGTATTATTTTTAAGAATTGGAATTCTTTCTTCTCTTTATATCTATACATCTTGAAGTCGACATTATCAATTGTACGATTTTTGAAGTTTTGAGTACTTTTTTTACTTAATTTTTTAGGTGCACCTTACTTTTATAATATAAAGTGGCAACCTTAATAAACTTTTTACTCTAAATTTTAGAAAAAATATCTTTGAATGGCATAAATTATCTTACAATATAGGGGGATCAAAATATTTCATTTTTCAATCTAGGGTTTACTTTTCATATTTAATTTCAAAATACCTAAGTTGCCCCTATTAAGTTTTGGGGATCCTGAACAACGGAGCATATTTTGATTTAATCCACTTAATTGCCCTAGCCAAATTATGTAAGTACCCCTAGTTGTTTAGAAACATGGAACTAAATGAAAGAAAAACCTATGTAATCTTTTGTCAAGGAAATACAACTTTTTTTTTTTTTAATAATAATCACCCTTTATAATTTTGGCAACAAGATCATTCACAGATAGTCTTATTACAAATAATAGAAATTCAAAAAATAAATAACACATCAATAAAATAAATCTCAACTACTTGATGCCATTCATACAACCTAATACTGTGCTTGAGAATATAAAAATAAAAGAACAAATAATTAAAAGAAAAGATGCCGAAGATTACCTCAACTGGGCTTTTTACACCCCACACCGAGTCACCACATCCAATAGCGCGGGATCAGCGGTCTAACTTCAATCTCGAACTGAAAAAGCTAATTTTGGCCAAACTAGGTAACCACCTTAAATCTCTACAAAACCCTAACTCCAAAATAATTAGGCTCAAATCATAATTTTTTCAACCCTTAAATTAGATCATGAGAGAGAGAGAGAGTTTGTATATTGGGGTGTGCCCCCTAGGGTCTTTTTAGAAAAGAGAGAGAGTAGAGAGAGAAAATCAGAGAGTAGAGAGAGCAGCGTGGCCCCAAGGGAAGAGAGAGAGAATTTATGGGAGAAAGATGTGTGTAGAGATGGGGGAGAGCACCCTTATTTATAGTGAAATTTAAGTATAAGGTTTCTTTAGGGTTTCCTATAGCTTGCCTCTTTCTTGAGATCGAATATGGATCGTTGATCAAGGTGACTTGTGGGGTGAAAGATCTGAGTCATCCATTTCATAAATGGGTCATCAACATTACGGAAGGTGTATGAACCATTATCCCCTTTTCTTTAAACCATGTTTTCATCAATATATTTAAATAAATTAAATCCATTAAAGATATAGTGCATACCATAAATTGCATATTCCATCTCATATTTTTCATAAGAATATTTCAATAATATCAAGTCAAGATAATCCTTCAATAATCAAGATACGATACGGTCAATATTTCCTAATCAATATTTGACTATATGCTACAAGATATAGTTACCATATTTAATAAACTTGAAGACAAAGTAACAAGAGAAAGTATCCAAGGGTGGGGCATGCCACTTATGTATGGTATGTGGGGCCCCACCTAATACCCACATGTTGGGCCCATGTGCACTATGGGCCCCCACGTATTTTTTTAATAAATATTTTAAAATTAAATAAAATGAATTTTAAAATATTATAACTTTGTAAATTAATAACTTCATTTTTATAAGTCCGAAATTAAGAAATAAAATATCAAATGACTTATAAAAATTCAAATAATAAATCTAAAATAATTTAATAATAAAATGAACACAATTAAATTAATATGATGGGAAGTGGATCCATATGGTCCAGAAATTCAATCAACGATCACGGGGTACTCCACCTTCAACTGTGAACTACAGACCATACTTACTTTATCGAACCGACACAATGTTTTTCATGACCCACAGTCCAAGCAGGAGCTCATTATCGGGTCACCAAAGTCTGGTTGATGAGCCAAGGAGTCGCAATCCTAGTCTATGGATTACAGGTCATCCCCTAGAGACAAGTTAATGTCACCACGACCTGATACGACCACAGCTCTATAGCGCATAGAGGTATCTCTCACACGTGCATATGCTTCACCCAAAGGTGGATATCTAGCTTTCTTGAACGATCTATCTATATGCAAGTCGTGTGATGGAACATGGATGAAGTTTTGACCCCCGTCTCTGTAGGCCTACCATCACACACAAGTGCCTACCATCACACACAAGGGTCACATAGTCCCTCAGCTCACTCATCTAGGTATAACTACGACCTTATCAAGGGCTAACCCAAAAACCCTTTTCGATTTATTTTTTATGCCCAAGTACCTTGGGTTTTTCAACCGCCTAGATTGTCAAGTACAGTCTGGTATCTGCAAATATCATTTGCTTAGTATGGTCTTCGAGGGACCACACTCCCACTAAGTTTATGTTCCACTATAATAAATGTTTTTCATTACACACTCATAAGGTCTTTAAAAGCCATATAATCCCAACACTAAACCCTTGTTGTTTACAAACATCGAAATAACCAAATAACAAAAAATACCCTTGATTCCATATTGTTAGCCCTAAACAAAAGGATAATTTGGTTATTTTGTAGTTCTATTTTCCCAACCTTGAACAAACGGGCTGATTTTTGTAATTTAGATCAAGTTATTACAGGTCGATTTACCAAAGTGTCCCCATTCATTCAAGATTCCCAACCTTGCATAGAGATAGTTTGGAAATTATTAAACAAACTTTCAGCAGTACCTCTATGAAATAAATCTGAAAAATGAATACTGAATGATAAATTGAGTTATTTGTAAGATAATTTAAGCCATTTAATAATGTACTCTGTAAATTTTGTTTTGAATATGCACAAACTAAGACAATTAAGTATTGAATAGAAAACTAGATGTCGCAATGAGCTGGGTGGCCCAGTCCGGTCAGTGTGGCCCTAAAAAAAAGGGCCTGGGCCTCAAAACATGGCCTGAGAGCCAAGTATGGCCTGGCCACCTTGGCCTGATTACTGGGCCTAGCTGGGCCTGACCTGGGGGCACCTCGGTTCAATCTTGGCCCTTTTGTTCTTTATCTTTTTCTTTTAATTTTTCATTTTCCTATTTGGTCCAGCCTGGCCTTAATAGGGCTAGGGCTAGTGCTCCCCCTATGGGGATCCAGACCGGACTAGGTCTAGGGCAGGGTTGGCACGTCCCAACCCCGCCCATTGCTAGCCCTAAGAAAAACAATTCCATCGATTTGTGTGGCTTGAATCCAGCTTCTACTTATCTTCCCCTATGACTTCATTGTCCACATTTGAAAATTGGCAAAACGAATGGAGCAAATATTACCCACCCAGCCTTCTTTGGCAAACTTGCGCTCGGCTGACACCAATTGGTTTTCCTTTCGAATTTCTAAGCCAATCCACAAAAGAAAATCAAGCAGAGCCACAACTTCGAATAAAATAACTTGAAAATCTAAGTAGAGAGGATATTCCAGATAAATTTTAAACAACATGCTAGCAACTCCTTAACATGTGATATTAAGCAAATAGTTTGAAACCCAAGTACTAGTAGCATAGAATACAAACTGCAAAATAAATGATCATGAATAGATTGAGCAAAAATAAAGATAATTTACACTGGAAAAATCTGGAAGAATGGGACAAGAATGGAAGAAGCAATAAGGGACTAATAGAAATTTAGAAGTAAATTGCAATAAGAAATAATCTACATTTAGTCGTCCTAATGTCATGAACTTCGATCGTCAGATAATCTACCATGTTCAACAATAATTAAGCCTGACTCTGGCGAAGCACTAAAGCCAAGCCGGCTCTAGGGACACAATGCATTAAAAAAGGAAGTTGTCAGTGCAATATCTAGAATGTGTGAACCTTTAAGAATATATACAAAGAGTTAATCACATACAAGTACAAACTTCAAAGCACTAATTGGAGAGCGTACAAGAGAATAGAACTGCTTCTTTTTTTTTCTCTTTTTTTTTTCTGTTAAAAGAATAAAAATGCTACTAACGACATTTAAATGTACATGTATAATATACCATGGGAGACAGATTCAGGCGTGCCAAAACTTAATAGTTGGTTGCCTTAAATGTCTGCCACCAAAAACACATTTCTTAGTGCTGGAAGTAACATGGGAATCTTTTTTAGTGCTAAAATTTGCATGAGAGACTAGGTCTGATTTGTTGAACCCTCAATTCTTTTATTCTAACTCGGTCTCTGATGCTACTTCCTCTTCCAGTTCAAAGGCGTCAATCTCTGCAAACTTAGCTCTTTGTTCTTCAATGAAATCTCGAGGGAGCAGCTCGGGCATTGAATACCGTCGCTTCTGAGAGAGCATGTCACATATACATTTCTCAGTATTTATTTTTCTTCTTTTGCTTCCATTTCTAATATTGTGACATGATGAGCAAGATCGAGCAATTGAAAAATGGGAAATTAATAAAATTATACCAAAGTCCCACGGACTGAGGTATGCTTAGCACAGGAGCTACATCCACCTATTGGTTCCATTGAGGGATAGTTGAAAATTAACTGGGATGGAACCCCAACCTGCATAGGATTAATTTGATCTCCAACTATTGATCCATGGGAACATATGGTGGATATGAGCATACAATGGTCCATTGTACCATGGCAAACTAATTCATGTAAAGTTCCAATAAAAAAGCTACAACCCCAAAAATTTCAACAGAAGATAAAGCAGAAACCTAGGAAAACCGATGCTTCTTGTTAATGGGATCCTTGCGAATGAATCCAGTAGTTTCAAGAAAAACAGGTAAGATTGATTTGATCTTTTGCAAGCAGAATAAAAAGAAACCTTTTTCTGAACAGGCTCTTCTGTGTGCGCTTTCGAAGGACCTGCCTCACAGACCTGCTTCCCCAGTTTCTTCCTGATCATGGAATAGGCAACGAAAGACCCCTGTTAAAATAAATATTTAACATTTGGCCAACTGATTTTTTTTTTTGGGTAATTCAGTGAGGATGGCGAACCCCTACCTGTTATTTGAAATCGTTAGTGGTTTTTTAATGCGTTAGGTGAGAATGGTAATTTAGACTTTAGCTGGGGTACAAGTGGTGCTACCACCATGGCCCCAGCCCCATTCTCACATTTGGCCAAATGATTGATAGGAAAAAGATGCACAAAAGGCAACTGAATACTACCAAAAACAAAAGGAAAAAGAAAAAAAAAATGCAACTAAATACGCCATGTGTAATACATCAGGAGTTAGGATTATGTACAGTATGATCCACCACAATACTGATCAAATCATAGGGCCGCCCTTAATAACATACACTATTAAGTATCCAGATGGAGCATAAACATTGTCTTTTATTTTGGGTAAATAGATGGAGCATAAACATAGAATGTTAGCAATCAATGACAAAGCCAATGTGATAGACAAGAAGCACAAGTTCCATGAGGTTTATATAATCCTCAAGAAAAAGGTTGACTGCAGAAGCAAGAAAGGATTGGTTGCACAATCCAACACAAAATTCTCAGCACACTGCCATTCATTTCGTTTTTCCTGCAGAAATTATAGGCTGATAGCTACATGAGGAAGTTATAAGGATGGACTCCAGCCTCTATGCCCCACCATGAGCTGTTCGATAGGAGATAAGTGAGCAGATTTAAATTAACCATGAGACAAGCTGGAAGCTTAGAACTGCCCCAGCAAGAAGCTCAACAACTTCTAGAGAATGACATGCATGAGATATACAAATAAGCAGACGTTATTCAACATGTAGGATGGCATAATTGCCCCAGTTTAAGTGTGATAAGATTCAACTTCACATGTGATATCATGGTGGTTAACAATAGAAAGAATGCATCAATACAAGTAACCTCATTCTCATTGAGGCTTGAGTGTATGAAAATAGGATGGCAAGACAAGAGTAAGATTTGACACTAACTAGGAGTATTCAGGGGCTTGTTAGTAGAAAGAATAGTTTCCTTAAGTCATATGTGAGGAAACAAAAGTAGTCAAGCACAATTGACTTTTCTATTAACAAGCCAGAGAAACATAAACTAATTTAATGACTGTCCTCGCCCAAAAAGCTGAAGCTGTAACTTCATCCGAAGTTGGAATTTTCCAAGCCATGCATGAGGAAACAAACATACATGTTTTACTTTCCTCTTAAAATTAAGAGTCATATAAATTTGGAACATGAAAGAAATAGTAACACACAATAGCCTAATAACAGATTTTGCTATGAAAGATGAAGTCATTAACAAAAGCTCAAAGTTGGAAAGTATCCAACAAGTCATCCAAAATGACCCTTTTATTCTCTGTGGAGTGGTGTATCTAAATGGAATTGGAATAGAAAATCTTCATTTATGCTTTCTACATAACGTATTTTGTATCATTCCATGAGCTGCCTCTCGTAGAAAGAAAGGGAGAGGATAGGGAAAGTCCCTAAACAAAAAGTGATGTGACAACAGTGGATTTGACAACAAAAAAAGTAAAATCCAAAATTAGAAAGAATACTACAAGCACGATTTTCAAGGCGCATGAGGTTTGTGTTCCTGGACAAACAAACAACATTTTTTGTAAAGTTGCATCAGCTATGAATACAGCTTTTATGCCTCCAAGAGAATTGCAGCACGAGCTTCATTGTCCACTCCAGTTCTGAATCTCTCTTCCTTATCTCTTAGTGCTTTGAGATTTTTTAACAATCTCTATAGAGTATAGCCCACCACAAGGTTCATGGGTGAGATTTTGTGTGTTGGTCCATCTAGGTTCTTTGAATCAGGGGCCACAAATCAAACCATAGTTAAACTTCCCTCATCTAACCACCGTAAACTCTCAAGAAATGAAGTGTGGGTCTAGGCTACGGGGGAATATCATTACTTGACGAAAAAAACCAGCCATTCATTCATTAGATATCGTTCTTGATGTTTAAAACTCGCCGAGTCCAACTAGAACTCAGCTGAGTTACTCAGAACTGGCAGCCTGACATTTCCAGAGGGCCGTCAACTCACTAGGGCTACTGTGCACAAAATCACCTAATTCCTAACAGTGATTCAGACAATTTTTGTGTTGGATGGACAGGTCCTCCTAAACTTGCCAACTAGAACACTTCAGAAAGGGTGGTGGAAATCCGACCCCCTTTCTTGCTTGTTCTTGTCACTGAGAGTTCCAATCACAATGTAAATTTGTCTTTAATCCTAATTATCTACCGTTTAAACTCAAAATCATATATTCAACAGAAAAAATACTCAGAATCTCCAATTCACGAGATTTGTAATAACCAAAATAGGGTTTGGCCAACCCCTTTTCCTTGCTTGTTTTTGGCATTTTAGCTCGAATCAATTTGTTCCTATGCCTATATTTGTGTTTTCTATCGAATCCAAAGCTTAGATTCAACAAAAGAACATTCAAATCTCGGATTTGCCATATTTAGAATATAGGAATAGGGTTTGTCTAAAAATTACAAGAGCTTTGGATCAATTAGATGCAAAGTTGAGTAAAAAATTAACTTCCCATTATTGATCATTTTGTATATCAAATTCTTATAATTTTTCTTTATTTTTTGAATTTTCGTACTTTTTGGGATACTTGTGTCTTTTCTCTTCAGCTCGAGCAAGTCACAGTGACTCAACAGCCCACCGAGTGACTCACTACCAGAACTCACCAAGTTTGATTCCGTGGTATTATAAGATAGATTTTCCGGTCTTATATTGGATAATTGTTTTTAAAAATATGGCATTGTCTTCTCATCTGGTTAGGAATTTGAGCAGGACCCCTTAATAGGATGCTGATTGGAACAAGATCTGATGATGGACAGCTTGTCTAACTAAACTTTCATAGTAGAATCTAATTAAATAAATGTCTATTGTGCCTTTTTGGGAAGAAATAGGCCACATGACTAGAGTACTTAGAATAAAAGATATGGACCTATGAGTTCCAGTAACTACTCTAGTGACTTGTTCTAATTTGATTACTGTCTGTTGAAATACAGTATCAGTTTTTATCAAAGTTCTACAACTTGTAACTGTGAAAATCTCAAATGGTCCTTTCTAAAGGCCTCTGCATAACAGGAGACTCCTGGCTATTTTAATGAATCACAATCAGAAAAAGACCATCTGATAACAAGGAGCCACGGAAAGTACAAGGATATTGTATACCCACAAAGAATCTCCAACTTGTTGAAACCTACAACTATAATCAGTCCCAAGAAGGATTTCTCAAACTAATTTGCCACCTTAGCTGGGCCAAGGTTACCAAAAGAGTTCCATCAAATTTAAGCTTCGTAATTTGACAAGGAACTCAACCTGATTCCTTCTTGAACCCATTCTCAGCACCTTCACCATTCACCAGACTTTCATTTCCAGACTTAGCCCTACTTCCTCACCCTAAATTCCTCCCAAATCAATAACTTAAAAATGAGATTCATCACAGTTAGGCTCTTCCTCTGTAATGAACATTCTCTTACTCTAAACTATATTAATACATCATTTCTGACAGATTTCTGACAGAGCTTATGCAAAGTAATTGTACCAATAGATATAGGGAAAGTTTACAATGAGACCATTTATCTTTAGTACATGGTGGTCACAATTAATGTTGACCATTGGATGTGAAATTAGATGGAGGAACTTTGTGACACACCCAAGCCATCAGATTTCACATCAAATTGTAAGTAATTGTGACCTTGTTATATCAAATGTAAATGGTCTCATTGTCTACAATCCCATAGATATATGGTGCCTTCTTATGGATCCTTATTAAAACATAAGTGTCCTAAAAGAATGACAACTAGGAAAAGAACAATACCAAATAGGAAGAGAACAATAATACATATTTCAACCTTTTCTACATATTTTGTTGGTTTATACATATCAGATATGGGTTTTACAATGATTCGAAGAACATTTGATTACAGCAACCTGGTACTTCAAATCCATTTTGGCACTTAAAACCTTGAAATGTACCAACAACATTAAACTAGAACATAACTCATAAGGTCAAATGTGAACGGAATCTGTTTATCAAGAGAAACAACTTGCTCTTTTCTGTTTAATATAAAATATAATATTTTAAGACTTAAGAGAAACAAATTCAACAAGCAATATTAATTCTCATGATGTAATAGTGTGACATATCCATCGTGTTTCTAGATAACACCATCCCATGTATACAGCATTAAACAACATTCACATTGTTACAAATAGTCCTTTCACTTCACAAAGCATAAATCAATGAGCTGTATAAATTGGACCAAAAGGATATTCCAATAAGAATATTTGAACAATAAATTATTAGAGAACTAAAATAATAAGCATTTACTAAATAGACATTGCTCACATCAGTACACCGTATTTTGTTCCCAGAGAACCACACAATCTATTCTTTTCATTAGAACACAACTCTTTCATATCGTTTTGGACACACAATAAGCAGTATTTAACTGCATATTACCTCTTAGTGTATCTAATCTGTAATAATCACATCTATGAAAAATTTGTTGTCAAAGTTTATGATTCTCTTTCATTTTATGTCTAAGTCAACCCAGATGAAACCCTCGTTTATCCAAAACAAGCATGCCAAGTATGAAATCAGTAAAAGAAGAAACATAAATATTAATAGACAAAGAAAGTGATCTAAGGAAATCTTGAACTTCTAAGTAATCTAAAGGGACTATTTAGTTTAGAGTTAGCAAACTCACACTCACTCCAGGACTAGCTGAAGTAGCACGAAAAAATATTAAATTAAAAACATGAAGGCACCCAAATTTCAAAGCCAATCCGCGAATCTTTGTACTTAATGTGAATCAATGTCTTCAATCTTTGTCAAAGAGGTCCTAAAATACATTACATCGACACCCTAAACCGGGTTTCTGAATCGAGCTCTTTATTTTTGGGTAAATACAACGTACAAAAATTTGGCAGCGGACTGCTTAGGCGGCCTGTTTCTCAAAACTGTCTAGGCGTGGCCCAGGCAGGAGGTCCAGCCAGACTTGTTTAAGGCACCCGCCTAGGCGCCTAAGGCACCCGCCTAGGCTCCTAAGGCAGCCTCAAGGAGGGTCCGGGCGCCCGCCTGGTGCCACCTTCTTAAACCGTACAGACTCTTTTGGGAGGGGTCAATTACCAAATGGGCAGTCATTTGCCTGAAATTATGAGCACCCCCCACCCCCCTCTCGGGGCATTTTTTTTTCTTAAGTTGCCCTCTTGTCTAGCAATTCAAATACCAAACAGGGGGAAGGCTATTTTTAAATAAAAGAGCTATCAAGCATTTCAATTGCTGGACAGCTACAACAAGCTTTGCTCACCGACTCTTTCTCTCTCTAATACCATTTCTCGCTTTCTCACCAAAGTACCACGACTCTCTCTCTAAGCACTATTTCTCCCTCTCGAAACGCATTTTGCTTTCTCTCTCCAAAAACATCTCTAGTCTCACTCCATAAATGCCATCTGTGTGTGTGTGTGTGTGTGAAATCAAAGTGAACCTAAAATGTTGTTTTCTATTGTGTTCTCAAATTCAGAAGGCAATATTTTGCGAGAACGGTATGTAAATCTCAGCGATCTTTTCATTTTAGTCGCCTCCAAATCTGTAATTGCCTCTGCACTCTCGACCCTCTCATTGCTTTGTTCTTCAATTGCTATTGCTTTTTGCTCTCTAGAAAAATTGCCTCCGGAAATTCTTTTTGTTCTTCAATTGCTATTGCTTTAAATTTCCTTGGCACTCTCGCCCCTCTCATTGAAGGCTGGCTCCAGCCCAAAGTGTTGGGCATAGTCCTCGAGGGATTGGATGAACTGCCGCTTGGTGGGATATGTGGGGAAGTGGGGAGGGAAGAGCATCAAGGGGAGCTCGAAGAATTTCTTCGAGAGGTGGAGGCTCAGCGGCTCAGCCTGTTGTATGTCTTAAGCTGCCACAGAATCTCCCATCCTTCCCAATATCAACAAACAAAATTGCCAAGGAGAGAAAGAGAACTGTCCGGTATTTCGAATACCGGATAGCTCTTTTACTTTGAAAAAGCCCTTTGCCTATTTGGTATTTCGAGTACCAGACAACTCTTTTTATTTTGAAAAAAGCCCTCCTCCAGTTCGGTATTTGCATTGCTAGACAAGAGGGTAACTTAGAAAAAACAAAATATGCCACGAGTGGGGTGCATGGTGCTCATAATTTTGGGCAAATGACTGCAACATTTGGTAAATGACACACCCCCTCCCCCTCCCCCCTCCGCCCCCCCGCCCCCCCTCAAGAGTGTCTGTACGTGATTTTCTCTATTTATTTTTTTTTGTTATTTAGTGAGAGAGAATTAGGTTTATAAAGAGAGATTTTTATTATTTGTACTTCTATTCATTTATTTTAGAGAGAAAAGGCATCCCTTTTCAATAACAGTACCTTTCTTTATTTTTTGTTCATCAAACAAGTAAAGCAACTGGCACTGTTCTTAAAAAAGAGTATCCTTTTTCTTTCATTTAGTAAAATACTTTTCTTTAAAAAAGCACACTTTTGACACATTTACACAATGACACATGCACATAGCCATGATATTATTATTACATTTTTATACAACTGCTCATTGCCTAGTATTAATATTAACTTTCTATACAAATCGAAACCATAAAAGGGAGAGAATGCGGAAAAAAAACTAGAAAACTTCAGGGCCACCCAGTTATTTGGGCGCTTGCCTCTGCCTTCTTGAACATTAGGTAAATAGTATTTTGAATTTCAAAACTCTGCCTTGGCTGGCCCCTTGCCGGTCGTGCAAGTCCCAAGCTTGGTAAAGGAGGAGGGTGGTGTTAGTTAGGCAGCCACAGTAAACTTTCCTGCAACTTTTCTTGAATCTTGAATCTATGTTTGGAAAGCTCTAAAAAGACAAGGGAAATATCCAAAAGGACATGGATGGAAGTAGTGAAAAAAGATATAGGACTTATGGTCATACTGAGGGAATGGCCTTTGATAGAGCAGAATGACAGAACACGATTTATATAACCGAACCTAAATGGTTGGAATAAGGCTCTTATGATGATGATGATGAGTGTTTCGAATTTCAAAATAATGCAATATGAGATTTCTAGTGGTTTTCTATGACAAATATAACTATGATATAAGAAAGAAATCCAAACTAAGCTTAGATAACAAACTTCAACCAAGATTGGGCCACAAGCATGTGAAGAAATTGCAAGTTTTTGGCCACACCGCAATTTGAAAATTGCAATCTCTTAAATTTGAGAAATTCTATTTTCTTTTCTATATTGATCTATTCATTGGAAAGGGGTTGCAAAAATTGCCAAAGACACAAGTTTCAAAATTAGATCTGAAGCATGGTTTTAAACTAAAAAAGGCATTGGACTTGCAAGGCTGCCACTGCCAGAAGCTCGCAGAGTCTCTGCTAGCTCGCCCATCACTACAATAATGAGGATGAGCCATGCTACAGTACCTCCTACACAAGTAGGGGGTTTTCTGTTACTAGGGTGAGCCATGTTAGAGTGCCTCCTACACAGGTTGGCGTTTCTGAGCCCAGCAGGGTGGTGAGTCTAGGTGACTCGACCGAGCCCAAGTTGGACATGCTCCGTTTTTCAACATTGATTTACATTTTACATGTTACATGTATCTTACAAGGGAAAAGGAATCAAGTTGATCCAATGCACATAAACATCTGTCGTAACATGGACAATTTCAGCTGCCGAAATGCATTGAGTGGGCCAAAATTTTTTGATGATAAAAAATAACAGAACTCTCTCCATCCTATACAAAAATCAAAATAATGCAACCCGAAGTAAAGCAGCCACATTCTAGGCACCACGATAGTTACCTAATATCATCATTATAATTAACAAGGTCCGTACCAAGTAAGTCTGGCTATCCAATTAACACTGCAAATTCACCAAACTAGCAACAATAACAACAATGACTAAAATAATTTGAAAAAAACCTCCATTGAGAAAGAAATAATTAATATACCAGAAACGTGCAATTGGCACCATGGGAGGGCAGCTTGCGGGCAATACTTCAGCATTCTTTCTTGTATCTGATTGGCTCCATGGAACTTCATCTTGGTCTATGCTTTTGCTTCCATTCAGGCCTACATTATGGCAAAGGATACAGAAATTAAATTACAGATGTGGTATCCCTTAAAACAAGACAAGATAAAAAGGAAGAAAGAGTAAGAGACAACTCATGCTCAAACCTCAAAAGCATTGACAATGGTGGACAATGCAACCATGTATCAAACATGAAAAACAAGACCTCAACCATCCAAGTCATAAAATGCTTCTCCTATAGCAGAATATTATTCAAGCTAAAGAGTTTAAACTAATATAAAATATATGAATTATGAAATGCATTGATGAACTTCTCTAACCAAAGAATTACAAAAAGTTTGAAAGGACAAAATGCTTGATATTCAAATTTGCATGTCAAACAATTACCAGAAACTCATATAACATTCATAATTTGCGAGAATTGCCACTAAATTTGGCATAACTTAAAAATGAAACCATGAGTTAGAAGAAATCCACAAATTACCAATTTAGAAAACACCAAATCAAACAATTCTAAGTTGCACAAATATTTAATATAAAAAATGTTAATACTTACCAGGAAAGAACAAATCAAACAATTCATCGAAAAATATACCGTAACATACCCCAGGATACCAGAAACTAGAGATAAATAATGTGGACTAATTTGACCCATAAATAAGGAGATTTGGGCTTTTTGCTTTATTGTTGCCTTCAGTGATAGTTAAAAGAATTTCAAAATCCACTTCCAGCAGAAACTAATGGGATAAAAAATTTTGAACATAGAACCTGATCCCATATTTACTAGAAATTAAAAGGGCTATGCATACCAGGAGCAAACGCCAACTCTTAACTACAAAGAAAATTAAGAGAAGAAACACATCCTAATGCAGGCTCCGTTAAGAATTAACATACAAAAAATACTAGAAGTTAAAATTATAAACATCAATTATCAAATTTCAAAATTTAGAGGCACGATTCAAGAGAAAATACAAATTACTTAATTGAACACAAGGATGAGTGATCCAAATAGGTAGAAAGTACAGAGTACTGGATTGTGAGTTGACCACATATTCACAAGCTCCAATAATTAGCAGAAAAGTATAATCAAAATTCACAAGAAACTAACAAAATAAGAACTCAATAGAGTCATGACAAAATACCAAAGAAATTCCAAATGTTCTAGAGATCACGACCAGTTAATTAAACAGTGCAAGGCGGTATCAGAGCCCATGAATAAACAGTAATTCAAAATCCAATTGATCCACCTTAATTTCCTAACCCTAAATTATCAGATAAATCAAACCCAAATCAATACCCCGCCAATAAAGGCAACAAAACAATTACGATTCACAAAATGCAGTACACTACCAGTTTCAGTCGAGCTTTCCTAATTCAAAATCACGAGAACCCGAGAAATGAAAACAGTTCTTCATCTATTCCAGGCCAAACCATAAAATCCACAAAAGAACAAAGAGGAAAAATCAACAATTATAATCAAATGAAATACCGTACATTACCAGCTTCAGTGGACCTTCTAACAGAAGGATTTGCAGGCCAAAACCTCTGAATCTCCTTACTCACTGCATCATTTGAACTAGTGCTGGTGTCATACTTTTCAGAGTTTTCTCCACTTGTCCTGGAGTCGTGTTTCTTACGGTTTTCTCCACTGATCTTAGAGTCGTGTTTCTTAGGGTTTTCTCCATTAAACTTAGAGTCGTTTTTCTTAGGGTTTTCTCCACAGGTTTTCGTATCGTCCTTCGGAGGGTTTTTCCTACCGGTTTTAGATTCGAATTTCTTAGGGTTTTGTACTTTGGGTTTGGCGAAAGACTTCTTGATTTCAGAAGAAGCTCTGGAGATTGTGTTTGTGCAATCAGCTAGGGGCTTCCTCTTAAGCTTTCTTCGCTCAATTTCCATGACTTTCCATTTCAGGAAACTGGTTTTTCCTCTTTCTGAAAACAGAAGTACCTACCAAAAAAAAATGAACAACAGAAGTGTAAAGATTTGTTGCTTCGGTAGAAAGATGAAACAACAAAAAGAGCGCGAAAATGGAGAGAGTCGAGTATTGCGAAAAAGAAAAATGGAATATGGAAGCATCAAAGAAGAAGATCCACGGTGAGGGGTATTTTGGGAAATTCGGTGGCAGGGTTATTTTAGAGAATTTGGTGGATGACTTAAAAATAAGGTTATTATGAAATTATCTTGAATTTTCTGTTTTTCTAACATTTTAACAAATTCTTTAAGAAAAGATGGAACCAGAATAAGGTTATTATGAAATTATCTTGAATTTTTTGTTTTTCTAACATTTTAACAAATTCTTTAAGAAAAGATGGAACCAGGGTTTTAAAAATCGACGAGTTGACACGGGATTAAAGAAATATGGAACCAGGGTTTTAAAAATCAACAAGTTGACACAGGACGATTCTTCTGCAAAACTAAGAATTGCCCGATCCTAGAGGAGAATCGGCGATTTTGAACAGTGAATCGCCCCTATTACATCATAAATCGCGATTCCAGCCGCTTAGTGACGTCACAGGGACGATTCTTCTACAAAACCAAGAATCAGCCGATCCTAGAGGAGAATCGGCGATTTTGAACAGTGAATCGCCCCTTATTACGTCATAAATTGCGATTCCAGCCGCTTAGTGACACCGCCCGATCCTAGAAGAGAATCGCGACGATTTTGAATAGTGAATCGCCCATATTACGTCATAAATTGTGATTCCAACCGCTTAGTGACATCGCTCGATCCTAGAGTAGAATCGGTGACATCGTCCGATCCTAGAGGAGAAGAGAATCGTGACGATTTTGAACAGTGAATCGCTCCTATTACGTCATAAA